GCCCTACTTCCAACCACCGAGGGTTAAATGTACCCCCCCCCACCGTATTCCCCGTGCCGTCGAACTTTTGTAGAACCCTGACAGAAACCCTTACAACAGCGCTCCAAACCCCAAACTCGTACTTGCAGTATTCAGGCCCTTACTACACCCCAAGCCCCTAAATACACTCCAACGTCGCCATGCTTCCACAGACTTGGTATGGTCTCTTGGCATCGCCGTGCACCGGTCTCCACCTGCTCTCGCGCGTCTTCCCGGATAAATATCCTTTAACTACTGTAACCCATTGATACGCACATATATATATATATATGTGTGTGTGTATGTAGAAAAGTGTGTGTGTGTGTGTGTGTATTTATCTATACACACGGATGTACGCACACACACATACATATATATATATATATACATACATACATACATACATACATACATACATACATACATACATACATCCTCCATCCATCCATAAATCCATCCATCCATACATCCATACATCCATACATCCATAATTCCATACATCCATACATACATACATACATACATACATACATACATACATACGTTCATACATATAGGGTTTACGGGTTTGGGGTTTCGGGTTTATGGTCTCCTGCACGAGTTCGCTGTACCCAAGGACAAACCGTGACAAACACTCATGTCACACGAATGTCGTATATACGGGATGAACCTGCCCTGCCCTCCCACCCCTCCACCTGCAGAGGCGTCCGAGATTCCAGGCGATAGACCTAAGTTGCAGGGATTAGGGTCTACATCGATGAACTGGGTCGAGGCTCTAAACCTGAAATCTTAAAACCGTTAAACCCTAAACTTAGGTCATAGGGTTTAGGGTCCAGGGTTTCAGGTGGAGGGTTTAGAGTCCGGTGTTAAAGGTTGGAAACGTGTAGTACGACGTTGTACCTGAAGCTTCAAAACTTCCAACCCGAAATCCTACTTACTCAAAGCCAAAGCCTATGCAAACCTCTGAACACCTCCCGTGTCTCACCACGCTCGGAAGGAGTTCTGGGGTCCACACCCGTTCCCGACCAAGGTTCAATGCCTCTGAAAAGGCCAAGCGGCACTCCTTCACCGGAAACAGGGAAAGCTGGGCTAACCATAATAAATAAACTTTGAAACCTCCAACGCCGGACATGCCCCCACATGCTTCAGTCTTCAACTGTCATCTGTCTTCTCGGATTCCTCCTCCTAAAAAACGGGAGCCTGCCACCCGAATCTCGTCTCTGTTACGCCAACTTCGAAAGCCGCACGATCTTGCCAAGAGCATTTTTGAAGTTTAAAGTTTAGCGGCTATTAATGACTATTGTTTAAGGGACAGCTCGGTGGAGTCAGGACCTGCAATGAACTAAAGCAGTTTTGGAGCATGTGCGTTTCACCCTTCGTACTTTCATCCCAACTTCCGACGTGCCTTCGCTCGAGTTTGTCACTGAACCCGTATACTTGACGGATAATACTATAGGTGCTGTAAGCCCCAACACCCATAAACTTCCTGCAGGGCCCCGTAATCCCACACGAAACTGAAGAACCCCCTAACGCACCAAGACCCAATGTCTTGAAGCAGTAACACCCGGAACTCTGCTCTAAACCGAAGCCTAAACCCAAAATCCCAAAACCCGAAACGCTAAACAAATCGACCCTGAACAAGAGCCCTTGCTAGATCCATGAGCTCCGGCATCTGCCGGCTTTCGCATACCAGTACCCGCCTCCGGACCGGGGCATAGGGCATAGGAACGTGGTTAAGATGGGGGTCATAATAGCCAAGCGGAACAAAGTTATGCAGTGTATGGCACTATGCTGTAAGAAGGAACGGAATCCTAAGGAATAGTACGACGAACTGATCAAATTTCTATCTTGCAGGATCTTGCAAGGTTTACCGGGGAACCTTATGTCTGGAGTTCAGGGCTTGGATGTTGGGGTGTAGGAGTGTAGGACTACAGCTATAGACTTTGGGGCCATCGGAAGTCTACGGTTAGCGATTGAATTCCTTCAGGTCGTGAGGTTCAGGTTCGTGGCCGGAGGCTTGGGAGATTTCGCGTTCCGGGTTGTCTGCTCCATAATGAAGGAGATCTCTGAGCCCAGAGATATTGACCTGCATGCATTTCCCGAAAAATGGCTGCCTTTTTCTTGCCGGGGGTTGGGTGCCTCGCACGCGGCCTCAGATGCCGCTGCCGGCATTGCCTCCTCATCAGCATCCTCCTCGTCGTCAGTGGGAGCTTTAGCTGACCGGTTGGACGGGCGACGTCGCCACTTGGCATCGCTACCCGGTGGCTTAGCTGCACGACGATTGCCTCTGGAAGGCTTTTTGTCTTCCTCGTCGTCCATGATCCGTGAGGCTCTTCTTGACGCTGGACGATGCCAGTGCAGCCGGATGTGGCAAGAGAAGCGCTTCCTCGATTTGCTTCTTGACCCTGCCAAGTTGCTTGTCGAGCTCTTTGACTTTCGCCATTAGATCCACATTATCGGGTGCTTTCCGCATCTGTAACATAAAGCTGGGGACAGCGGTGCCACGAAAGAGGTTCAGTTCCTCAGCGCTCGCCGTGTCAATGATCTGCTCCTGCTTCGCCTTGCTCAAGATGCTCTTGATGTCCGGCAGCTGCTCCAGGAGTGGATGGCGCCGGAAGCCCGCCCGGGGTACCAAGCTGCCGAGCAACGGCGTCTGCGAGGCGGCTGTTCACCGCATCTTGGCCGCGACACACCGACACAAGCTGCTGCATGAGTTCCTCATGTCGGGTGCTGATCCGCTCACTTTCGTGGACCAACACCATTTGGCCCTCCGAGATCGAGGAAAGCACGGTCATCAGCTGGCCCAGAATCTGCAGCAGGACCGGAAACGCAGCACCCTCGGCATCTGCCTGCTGTATCCAGGCAGCACGCCGCTGCTGTTCCATCTTGTCCACGGCTCCCCGGCTGGCCCGGTCTTTGTCTTCAGCGGTGCCAGGTGAAATGGGGCATCTGCAGGACGCCGCCGGGGCCTTGGTTGGCGCCACCTTAAAAGGTCGGCATCGATGCAGCTGATCGGTAATAGCTTGCATGAACCGGTTGATTTGCTTAGGATTGTGTCGGAAAGTCGCGGGCAAACTCTTTATTTCCTGGCTGTTGCACTTTTGCTCCCAGTCGTGCAACTGCATGGACCCATGGCCCGCGTTGTAGATCAGCGCGGTTAGATCCAGCAGCCAGAAAATTCCAAGGAAGAGGCCGGAGAAACGGCTCCATGACCAGCTTCTCCCAGCGTTGGTCCGCTTCGGTCGCGAACTTGTGCACTGCATTCAGGCTGATTTGGATTTCCCCGCTGGACCGGATCTCCGACTTGAACATCGTGTTCAGGACGCGGAGGTGAACTGCGCCAGCTCCTTGAAGTCCAGAATGCAGCCTACATCCTCACGTTGACGAAGAAGTCGTCTGAGGTGCCGGTGAGCTCCGAGAAGCCGATCTCCGGTTCAGCGCACCACAACTCCGTCTTTTCCGCTGTAAGATCTTGAGCGAAACTGCACAGGCTTCCAGCTTTTCAAGGCAGCAGCTCTGTTGCATCTATGGTGCCATCTTGAAGGTGAGGGGGCCATACGGAGATGCCGGTCGGCTTTTTCTTTTCCCCGAACGACATCTCGCGAAGGAAATGCCTAGAAGCAGAAGTAAGTTTACCGGAAGCGCCCGTGAGGAGGACACACGGCAAGGATTTTTGCTTCCCATCCACGGCAATGTTTAAGACGACATAGACCTCACATGGTTTCTACAAGCTTTTATCACCCGGTTCTCCCACGGCACCGTCCGGGTGTTGGTAGACTACATTATCTTGAGGAGCCCTGTGTAATCCTTTAGGCCTCTACGGTGTAGGGTTTAGGGATTTAGGGTTTGGGGGTTTAGGGTTTAGGGTTCTCTATACTAGACGTCCCAAAGCCCACTTTCTGAAGCCGCCGGCGCCGAAGCACAAGTTCATGTATACTACTCAAACTTAAGCCGCATGCCCCAAACAGCATCTGGAGGATCATGGGACTTAGTACATATGGTTGGAAGTACTTTAATTGGGATTTAAGGACTTATAAGTATAGTTACCATAAACATCAACCTATATTGCTCAGTCCCACGACCCGTTAAGTAGACTCAGTCGACACCCAAACCCCCACCAAGCCCAAAGTCGCCAGTCATAGAAACCCTGGGCCTCATAACACACTCTCGACCCTCGACTCCTTACTGAAGGCCCTCTTCTTCATAGAACCCTTATAGGGTTTAGGGCCAGTTTAGGGTAGAACATACGGTTGATGATAGAAATCCTGCGTTTCCCATAATAAGGAATCTACCTTAATTCCCATAGTTTAGGGTCCTGAAGGTAATGCAGGATTTATATCATCAACAGTAGGAGCCCTCACCCTGACGCAAGAATAACACTTAGCTTGAGGCCTCCCTGCCCTAAACCCTAACCCCTAAACCCCTAAACCCCTAAACCCCTAAACCCTAAACCCTAAGCTCTAAACCCTAAGCTCTAAACCCTGACCCAACAATGACACCTATCTTGAGGCCTCCCTTCCCTAAACCCTAAGCCCCTAAACCCTAAGCCCCTAAACCCTAAACTTTAAACCCTAAACCAACAATAACCAAAACCCTAAACCCTAAACCCTGACCCAATTTCACTTCTCTTGAGGCCTCCCTTTCTCCAGGGCCTCTCGGCAGTGCTCACCTAGTTGGGGATCCAAGGGGGGGGGGGTTGGAAGTCTAAAGGGCTTTCAGGGTTTAGGGTTTAGGGTTTACGGGTTAGGGTTTAGGGCTTAAGTCTAAAGGGCTTTCAGGGTTTAGGGTTTAGGGTTTAGGGTTTAGGGTTCAGGGGTTAGGGGTTTAAGGGTTAGGGGTTTAGGGTTCAGGGGTTAGGGGTTTAGGGTTTAGGGGTTTAGGGTTCAAGGGGTTAGGGGTTTAGGGTTTAGGGGTTTAGTGGGGTTTAGGGGTTTAGGGGTTTAGGGGGTTTAGGGGGTTTAGGGGGTTTAGGGGTTTAGGGCCCAAGAATTAGGCACTCGGGTTTTGGATCCAGTAGTAAGGCAGGGATCAAATTTCGGGGAGGACAGGATTCATAGGTCGGTGGACACCGTAGGCTTAGGATTCATTGGGTTTTAGGCTTCCTAAACCCTGAACCCTAAAGCCTGGACCCTAAACCCTGAACCCTAAACCCCAAACCCTCAACCCTAAACCCTGAACCCTAAACCCCAAACTCACCACCCCTTAGGCTTCCGATTCAGGCGCGCTTTTCCCTGCTTTCTGGGTTGGGTGACAAGCTTTGTCGGCTGCAGGACTGTCATCTTAGTGAGCCATCTCGGTCCACAAAACCAGGTTTCTCCAGAAACCGTCAGAAAGGTCTTCAAGCATTCGGAAAAGTGCTAATTACAGGCTTCAGGCAGTGCATTTCCGGCGTTTCGGATGAGATGTTGGACTTCAAACTCGGCTTCGGTTTGGACAGCTCAGGGCTGCTAGCGCTCAGAGTCAAGCAGTCTCTGTCTCTGGGATTTTGTTCAAGGACTCTTAGGGTTTAGCCATAAGCCGGCCCTACCCGCCACTGTGCAGGCTTCTCCAGGCTGCCGGGAAGCCCAGTCGCCATGCAAGTGCTTTGGAGTAGCCTCGATCAAATCATGCCGCATCTCCCTGAAACACTCAGCTCAGCACTGACCTTCAGCCTCAAACTCAAAGACCAGGCCTCAAACACCAGACCCTGCAGCCCAACTCTAGGCACGACATTAAAGCGACACCGCCCAGTACTTCAAGAGTCCGACTCCACAAGACGGTTCTTGAACCTGTTGGAGCATACCCCAATTCCATATTGAAGATGCCTATTGCAATTTTCTCTATGAGGCATAACTGAGCTATTGCTGTGACGATTAGACATGATGACAATAAAGGCGGCAGCTACCTACTGCAATTCGTAGTGATGTTGCTCTGACCTCAGTCGCTGTCCTCATTGAGCCTCTTCGTGTTGTTCTTGCCACAGAGCCCCAATAAGACTTAACCTGGGTACAGGGTTAAGGCCCAAGTTTAGACCTCCTGGCTTTAGGGGTTATAAGGGTTTAGGGCTTGGGGCCCCGAGATTTCCGAAAGATGTGTCAAGAATGAGCTCGAAGCTGCAAGCTCGAAGCTTCCTGAGAAAGCCGTCGGGGGTGTTACGTCAGACTCCCTGTGCCCATCGTCAGGTTCCCCCTGCCCAGAATAGACCGACTTACCGGACATCCTAATGCCCGCAATACTATTGATGATATAAATCCTGCATTACCTCAAGGACCCTAAACTACCGGAACTATGGCATCTTCCTTATTATGGGTAATGCAGGATTTATATCATCAACCATACTTCTTACTTGCGGAATATACCTTACACTCTAGAGAGATCCCTAATAAGGTTCTAGGAAGATGCCTTGTTTACGAGGGCTACAACTGAAAGCCCACATTAAGCTCTTGAAAGGCCACGGAGTTGGGATCTTTGAGTTCGTCTAGACCATGGCAAAGGAACCCACGTCCGCAGCAACGAGGACGTCGTGATCCGGGAGAGTCAGTGCAAGAGGAGGAACCTATCGTCCCGTGACTTGGTTGTGAAAGGGTTGCTTGGAGGTTCATGGGTAGTTATAAACGGGGTTATAAGTAGGGTAACTATACTTATAACCCATATTAGGGAATTATAACCCCACTTATAACCACCCATGAACCTCCAAGTAGGGTCTAGGGCCAGTCTACGGTTGCTTTTAGGGTTCAGGGTGGTCACATGATGCCTCGCGTCAGCCCCATCCCGAGCATGGTGGCGATGATCATCATGAAACTGACTGTCGACACCGTCATTAGAATCATCAGGATCCTCATTCCCCTCCTCTGCCTCCTCGGTTTAGGGTTTAGGGTTTAGCGTTCAGGGTCTTTCGGCACTTACTTGTTATTGTCATAATCAGCCCCATTTCCTGCCGTGGATGTCATGACACAACCTGGACTCTGGACGTTACCACCGCGAAACATAGCGACAGTGTGAATCCCCCTCTAAACTATCAAGATGGACGCACTGTGTTATCATGAGAAACACAAAGCGCGGTCATCATCATCATCATCCTCCTCCTCGCATAACCACACCATAATCTACGATAGCCGCAAACGGGGACACCCACATAGAAAACACATGCAGGGGCTTGGGTTTTAGGCTTTCAGGTTTGGGGTTTAGGCTATAGGGTCTAAGGTTAGTGCTTGGTCCAATCTTAGCTTCTTCCGTGGTGAAAGGAATTCAGCTGTTTGGCTATTCGCTGCGTTTGGGATCCGGGCCCCGAGATTACATTTGGGTCTTATTGGCTCGGGCGTCTTGAAGATTACGGCTTCTGGTAAACGCTCTCTTTTGCGCCGTTTACCTTGCTACATGAACGAACACACACAGACATACGCGCCCATGTATACATACATTTATGTACACGTGTAATATACACACAGACTCAAGCGCGAACCCGAAAACCGTCAACCCCAAAAGACAGACATGTGCCTGCGGCACCTATCCGTAGGTCTGAGGGCATGCTGCAAGGGCACTTTGATTGTGTGTGGAGGGTTCGAGGGAACCCTTGTGGTTCTTTATCGTGTACCATGTTACCACGGTCAATGTCTATCTTTCAGCCCAAAAGCGCAGGACATCATGTCGGGCCGAGGCTTCGGAGGTGCCCTCCATTGCAAAGCTGCTATCTGCTATCATCTTTGGGGGTGAAAGCCCGCCTCCGAAGATGTTTCAGCACACTGCGCCTACTCTGTGCTCTCTTTGCACATGCTTAATCACTTAGGAAGCCGGTGTTGATGACGACTGTGCGCGCGCCTTCTCTGCACGATGGCGAGTTGACATGACGACAGCAGAAGGCATTGGGTCCTTGTGGCCAGGCATGTGCTTCTGCATTCGATACTTCCCAAACGGTTTAGGATTTAGGGGTTTAGGGTTTAAGGGTTTACATCGAGTTTTCTGAAGTGCCCCGGCGAATGGAAAGGCTTCACGTGCTAAGTCGCTC